GTACTACGTTGGTAAAAAAATGCGCCGTGCGCCGTACTTTAGAAAGCTAAAATAGTTCTACTATTTTAGTTGACAATATACGCGAGTATATTGACTACGCGAGTCGAACTGACAATAATAAAATGTAAGACATGTCCGCCGCGTTGTCCGGGTTACTTCTGACTCTTCCGCTTGTCCGCCTTATCGGATACGGAACATACGGTAATCGTAAACTGCGGCTATTATACATACAAAATGTAAACAGATGGTGTTCAGTGTATAAAAAAATCATATATTATTGAAAGATAATTAAAGGCATACTGTAGTGAGTAATGTGAGTATTACGTCTCTTCCTCCACAAACTGCTCGTGCGCGGCAGCGTGACGTAGAATTAATGGCCGGGATTGCGCGAAGAGAATAAATTTTCGTTACATTGCGCCAACTGTGCACAGCAATAGCTTAAAAAAAAAGAAAATGCACGGCAAAATTCACCAAAAACATACATCATCCTGAGTGTGGCCTAGTTTTTCTTTGGTCCTAATCAATTTCAATGATTTAATTCCAGCCATTGTAGTGCATTTGCCTGTCAATTGTATCTGAACTGGGGCAAAACAGGCAAGTTTATAATCCATCTACTCCATCAGCCTATAATTGGTAGCATTTCTGCCATTTCAAGCAAATCACCGCGACCACTGATAGGAATATAGCCTATAATTACCTATATTATATTTGTGTGTGTGTAGGCCAGTAAGGCCACTAACTGACTAAGTGACTAAGTCTATGTGGTGCTTGAGGCTTAGCAGCTAAGCCTTAGCTGCTTAGGGGAGTATTGAAAGTGTGGCTCCTGCCTTGGCCTCCTGGTTTATAAAAAATCTTTTCCACTGTATTGACTATAATCAAAAACTATTTCTTTCTTTTATATTCAATTGATATTTTGGATCTGATGAAGTTAACAAGCTTGATTGGTTTCAAATATAAAAATTCCAACCTGAATTGGCTACCCAATTGGGCAGAATTTTCAGGGTACCATCAAACGGGATCATAGTGGCAAAGCAGAAAGTTTTTTTAGACTCTAATCTGAGTTCAATTTTAATTATTTTTAAGTCCTATTAGTAGACCAGCGAACTTTGCTGGTCTACTAATAGGACTTGAAAAAGCAAAGTATCATGGATGATGGATACCACTGCTGTCTGCTAGCATCATCATACATAAGATATTGGATTAAATCTTGAGTAAATGAGAAAATTGAAAAGGAACTGATTCTAAAATATCACTGGTTTGCCACTATGAATGGGATAATAAGCGACAGTTTTGAGCATTTTTTGTTGATAACTTCTTGCCATTATACATTTCATAAACATGTTTTAGCTTATTTTAAAGTCTTTTGCAAGGGATATTGTATAGCTACAGCATCTCCAAAAAAATTCTATATGCTATTTGTAAGCTGCCAGACCCTAAATAAAAGTGTCCCTAATTGCCCCTGGGAATGGGGTAATCTGTTATCAGGGACACTTGAAATAAAACTGAATTTTAAAATGTTTTAAGCATGCAGAGTGTACTCCTCCACTACTAACAGTACTCTGAAGACCTGTAGACTCTACCTATGTAGATGAAGTAGGTGTAGAATAAATGATATTTTTTGTGTTTCTACTTGTTTTTCCTTTCTTGATATATTTCCATATCCCTCCATTACCGTATACATACTATTGATGTGATATTAACATATCCATGAACATACAATTGAGCAATGACAACAACCTTTTCCACTGCAAGCTTTATATTGGCAGCCATGTATCATTTCTCTTGTATCTGTAAGCTTAAAGAATGGCTTGTAATTTCACACCATTTTAATTGGGTCGAGTGCATTCACTATAACCAGGGTTGGTGATTTTTTTTTATTATTTTTTATTTTTTCAGCTTGTTAGTCTTTTTGACAGGTTATTTTTTATGTTGCAATTAGCCTACTAAAAATAACAGTATATGGATCATAATGGATGGCTAAAAAGGGCACTTATTGCCATCAATAATGGCCAACAGGCCAAGGTGGTGTTTACCACTTATGGATTTTTAGGTAAACAATTATTGATGAGTCTATTCATTAGCTTTGTAAAGTTTGTATGGAACAAGGTAATAAGCTAAATATTGACCATTTGACTGGCTTTGTGTGTAATCTGGGACACTTACAATAAAAGTTAATTTTAAAACGTTTGAAGCATGCAGAGTGGACTCGTCCATTGCTAACAGTACTCCGAAGTACTCCTCTTTCATTGTAGATGATGTAGATGTAAAAGAAATGATATTCTCTGTGATATTTACTTGTTTTTCCTTTATTGATATTACCGTCAACCGGGGTAACTCGGGACAGTCCTCCAACACGGCGTAAAACTGTTTTTGTAGCAAAACTAATTGGAATATTGCAAAACTAAATATTGTGGCATAAACGTCAACATTTTTCCTATCTATGTAGTATAAAGAAAGTTAAAAAATANCATGTTTACATTATATTGTCATTAACACATGTTTACATTATATTGTCATTAACACATGTTTACATTATATTGTCATTAACACATGTTTACATTATATTGTCATTAACACATGTTTACATTATATTGTCATTAACACATGTTTACATTATATTGTCATTAACACATGTTTACATTATATTGTCATTAACACATGTTTACATTATATTGTCATTAACACATGTTTACATTATATTGTCATTAACACATGTTTACATTATATTGTCATTAACACATGTTTACATTATATTGTCATTAACACATGTTTACATTATATTGTCATTAACACATGTTTACATTATATTGTCATTAACACATGTTTACATTATATTGTCATTAACACATGTTTACATTATATTGTCATTAACACATGTTTACATTATATTGTCATTAACACATGTTTACATTATATTGTCATTAACACATGTTTACATTATATTGTCATTAACACATGTTTACATTATATTGTCATTAACACATGTTTACATTATATTGTCATTAACACATGTTTACATTATATTGTCATTAACACATGTTTACATTATATTGTCATTAACACATGTTTACATTATATTGTCATTAACACATGTTTACATTATATTGTCATTAACACATGTTTACATTATATTGTCATTAACACATGTTTACATTATATTGTCATTAACACATGTTTACATTATATTGTCATTAACACATGTTTACATTATATTGTCATTAACACATGTTTACATTATATTGTCATTAACACTGTCATTAACACATGTTTACATTATATTGTCATTAACACAGGTTTACATTATATTGTCATTAAGACATGTTTACATAATATTGTCATTAACACATGTTTACATTTTTTTGTCATTAAGTGCCTCTTGCTCAACAGTTGTGGGTGTGTTAGGAGGATGGGGGTGAACGCATCCTGCCAGCCGGAGTCTGTAGTTGGGCCTCACACCTTCTTCACTACGTGAGTGCCTCGGTGTTTATCTTAACTCTGCTCATTTTTATGCTAGTGTTCCATATTATATAAGCTGTGTTATCATTTCTTAACTTAACCAGTTATGCCAAGTTATAACTCTTCATATGTCCTACATAACATGTTTTAACATGTCCACAAATTGTTGCTTTTTACACTATTCAACAAATAATTAACTTAATAAATAATTAACCATGCTTTTACAATGTTAAACTAACACTCACTCATTTTATTTAATTTGCCACGCTAGGTAGTGACCTCAGCCATTATTTCCTGATCTTCAAGTCTACCTTCTTCCTTCACTTGACTGCATTCATGGCATTTAAAGATATGATTGAATTATTCTCCTTGAAATGCAGGCTATAGTTTTACTTTGTTAATTTTTTATTGATATTGGGACCTACTTCTTATGTGGAAGAGAGCCCTGTTGTTATGGAGGTGTAAGCTGCTTGGGAAGAGTGAGAGGCATTTTTCCCCATGAAGGAGTGCTGAATTTTAGAATTTATAAAGCTAGGTATGCAGTAATTTAAATTGTTCGAAATTTCTGTGGAATAATATACATTGTCAACCTAAGATTAAATATATTTCATTTGAAAACATACCATGGTGAAAATAAGTAAGTTTCAGAATTCCAAGTAATGAGTAATATTCTAATATCTTCCCTCATACAATTTTTTTGAATATGTAATAGTTAGTTTAAATTTTGTTCATCTAAGCAGAAAGTTTCAATGGTGCAATAATCTTAATTTGTAAAATTAATTTTGAATGTTACCTCTAAATGTGATTTGTGTTACAGATTGACAATGCCACAGTCTAGCAGCATGGGGAGCCACAGCAGCAACCCAGCAATATCTGCAGCTGTAAGTTCAGGCCATTCAAGCAGCAGCAGCGGTCACAACCCTCACCAGCAGCGCTCAGATAAGAAGCGCAGACTTGCCAGCCTTGCAACCCTCCGTAAGAAGCTCGTGCTGTGTCGCAGGCGAAGCTCCAAGAGCTGTGATCATGCCAGGATCATCAGAGATCTGCTGCAGGACTGGACGCTCAGAGAGATAGCTGCTCTGTCAGAGGAGTATGAAGCAAGTGCTGCTCTGAAAGACCTCAGTGTTCAGGTACCTATGGCTTTGAATATTGCTTCCAAGTCACACAAAATCATGCTAAGTATGTTAGGTGTTGTGGGGAACCCCATTTTATGTGTGTTGCATAGAGGTGTTTTTTCCAACAAAGGCTCTTGCCAACTGCGTCTTTCCTGTGATGCAAAGTGCTGGTGATCAAAGTCAAAGTTAGAGTAGAGATCAGAGTTCAAATTGTAGTACTACTGCATAAAATGACTCATTAACTAAACCATGTTGAAGTTCTCACTGTTGTAGATTAAGTGCGCTCCATTACTTCATCATGTTGGAATATGTTTAATTCTTGTTTGTTTTCAAACTTGGTAAAAGTTTGGAAATTTACATACAATTTTTTCAAATGCAATGATGAATTACACGTGGCTTATTCCTTGTCTCTCTTTTTTTTTTCATTTGTGTTGCACATACCGGGTATTACTTGCATATATTTCTTTCTTGGCATTATTATATCTTTATTATGTATTAATTAAACACTGAATACGAAATGAATAAAAAAGTAGATTGGGATTTTTGAAGGATGTGGTTGCTATCAATCATACCATTGTTTTGAACACCCCAACTCAAGCAACATCTTCAATCACCGAGTTGCCACTCATTTTATTGAGAGAGCTTCTCGTAGCAGTATTGTCAGAGTTACATTGGTGTTAAGTGGTAGATTTCGAATAATTCTGTTGATGCTCCATTGCCGTGTAATGTGTAGCAGTGTCCTCTATTTTTCAATATTTTCACTGGCTTGGCTTTGTTGGGGACTACTGTTTTGTATTTGTCATGTTGCACATGCCATGATGTTACATGCTGCACATGCCGTGATGTTACATGCTGCACATGCCGTGATGTTACATGTTGCACATGCCGTGATGTTACATGTTGCACATGCCGTGATGTTACATGCTGCACATGCTGTGATGTTACATGTTGCACATGCCGTGATGTTACATGTTGCACATGCCGTGATGTTACATGTTGCACATGCCGTGATGTTACATGTTGCACAT